TCGACCTCTCCCTCTCTTAACAACATCGACCCGCTGTAGAACTCCCCTGCGCACCGGTGCATCAGGAGGCCTCCGTTGGACATGTCCGAACCACCTCAGCCGATGTTGAACTAATTTCTCCTCAATTGGGGCCACCCCGACACGAATATCCTCATTTCGGATTCTATCTCTTCTTGTGTGCTCGCAAAACCAACGCAACATCCGCATCCCTGCTACACTTAGTTGTTGGACATGTTGCCTTTTTGTAGGCCAACATTCAGCACCGTATAGCATCGCCGGGCGAATCGCCGTCCTATAGAACTTACCTTTTAGCTTTTGTGGCACTCTCTTATCACAGAGAACGCCCGAAGCTTGACGCCATTTCAACCAACCGGCTGCAATTCTATGCCTAACATCTTCATCAATGCCGCCATCCTTTTGTAGCATCGATCCTAAATATTGAAAAGTCTCCTTCTTGACCACCACTTGCCCGTCAAGGCTAACATCACCATCATCATGAGTAGCCATGCTGAAAGCGCACGTCATGTACTCGGTTTCGTCCTACTAAGTCTGAAGCCTTTCGACTCTAACGTGTCCTTCCACAGCTCTAACTTCCTATTTACCCCGGCCCTACTCTCGTCAACTAGCACCACATCATCAGCAAAGAGCATACACCAAGGGAGATCACCTTGTATGTCCCTTGTGACCTCATCCATCACCAAGGCAAATAAATAAGGACTCAATGCTGACCCCTGGTGTAGTCCTATTTTAATTGGGAAGTCGCTGGTATCGCCCCCACAAGTTCGAACACACGTCATCGCATCCTTGTACATATCCTTGATGAGGGTAATGTACTTAGATGGGAGTTTGTGCTTTTCTAAGGCCCACCACATGACATTCCTCGGTACTCTGTCATAAGCCTTCTCAAAGTCGATAAAGACCATGTGCAAGTCCTTCTTTTGGTCCCTATATCTTTCCATCAACTGTCGAATTAGGAAAATCGCCTCCATGGTCGACCTTCCAGGCATAAACCCAAATTGGTTTTGGGTCACACTCGTCACTCGTCGTAGGCGATGCTCGATAACCCTCTCCCAGAGCTTCATCGTATGGCTCATCAACTTAATCCCACGGTAGTTAACACAACTTTGAACATCACCCTTGTTCTTGAAGATCGGTACTAAAGTACTTCTCCTCCATTCATCAGGCATCTTGTTTGACCGAAAGATGAGGTTAAAAAGCTTAGTTAACCATACTAACGCTCTGGCGCCCAAACATCGCCACACCTCAATAGGAATACCATCAGGGCCCATTGCTTTACCTCCCTTCATCCTCTTCATAGCCTCTCCGATCTCTGCCTCTCGGATTCTCCTCACCCAGCATCTTTTGGTATCCTCAAATGAGTCAACCAACTCCAGGGTAGGACCCTCACTCTCCCCATTAAACAATTTGTCGAAGTACTCTCGCCATCTGTCCTTGATCTCCCCATCCTTCACCAGTGGCCGATCCGACTCATCCTTGATGCATTTGATTTGGTTGATGTCCCTTGTCTTCCTCTCCCGAATCCTAGCTATCTTATAAATGTCCTTCTCTCCCTCCTTCGTGTCCACCGAGACAAATGTGCCAAGACCGTGAGAACGAAGTGGTGGAAGCTTAAAGGGGAAGTGGTGGAAGCTTATCAGAACTACGTAGGTGAGATATAAATAAATAACCATATCTGAGACAGTTATATATTTAAGATATAAAAAATAAATTTTATACTTAAAATTTAAAATTTGCTTAATTATTTATAATCTAATCGTTATTATACCTGCTCGTTGTATAACACATATAATATATAAAATTAATGACTATAAATACAAATATAAATGTATAATATAAAATACTTTGTACAATACACTTCGGAAACGTATTGACTTGACCTTCGGAGTGCTTATGCCGGGAACCACTCCCGACTCTTTTTTTGCAAGTGATCAACTTTGCTCGGCAGTAGGAATGCTAACTCGCCGATTTAGATATATCCTCAACTTGGCATATCAATTAAAATATATGTTCAAATTTTTATTGAATATTTGTATGTTGTAATTTGGTTTGTATTCATTTTTTATTTTTTTTATCGGTAAATGTAAATTTATAGATCAGAATTGAAGTTAAAAAAGACAGATAATCGGCAAACAAAAGCACAGTGGGTAGCCATATGCTCGGCTCTTCACTCGCATGTGAATAATTTTAGAGGACAACCACATGTCGGTTGCTCACTCAAGACCCAAACTAATACAAAGAAAAACATGAGTACAAAAACTCTTCATGAAAAGGAAAATCCTATAAACAAAAGGTATTCCTCTAATATTCGGCAAGCACATTCGGATATAACGCAAATATTGTACGATAAACATGAATTTGGATCTTAGGAATCACTAGGCTCGGAGGTTGAGATTCATTTTAAAAAAACAACCTATTACTCGAATTCCAAATGAAGTACACGGTTGCCACGAGCGCCGCTTTCTTCAACTTAGTTTTCCAACTAGCCCCTCGTGCCTCCTTTTTAGTCCATTTAAGAGTCTCATTAAGTGTCAAAGGTCTATGACGAAGCTAACCAATCCCGAATCACTCCCAAATTTTCGAGCTAAAAGAGCATTCGAAAAATAAATGCCCTGATGATTCAACAACATCACCACAAAGAGAGTAAGTCGGGTCTTCATCACTGAACTCTAACCGGTCTTTTGTACGCAAATGGTTGAGTACTTCCACCAAAGAATAAATGAGTGTTTGGGGGTATTGCAAGGACCCCAAACAACTCCCCGCCCACGACACCAATGTACCACGAAGCCTTGAAAAATTGGCAACTTCGCTACTCATCTTGCTTACCTCGTGAACCCCAACGATGAAGCAGAACTTTCGTGGCTTGCTCACTCGCGACTTGGACAGGATCTTTTTGGAATAATATTTACAGCAAAATTTGTTTATTTGATTTTTTTGGTAAGAAAAATTCTTACTAGAAGACTTGTGGGAGTGAAAAATAAATAAATAAATGCAAGTGGTATTAGATTTATATAGCTCTTGTCAACTGTATTAATTAAATCCCCATCTCCTCTTTTTCATCAAGAGTAAGGATTATATATATATATATATATCTGTCTTGATCTTCCAACATTAATACATTATATTATATGCATTTTTTATCAAGTGAATACTGAAAGCTTCAAATGAGACCAAATCAACTGCAAAACCAATGATGTAACATACTCATAAATATATCCATTGATCTTAAAACTCTTTTCACCTCATCATTCATTCATTCATTCATCAAATTTCACTAAATTAAGCCATGAGCACCCTTTTATTGGTCTCATTTCTGTGTCTGGCTCTTGCAGCAGTATTATTATTATTATTATTATGCTACAGTCTGTGGTGGGAACCAATCAAAATCCAACACGTGTTGCGCTCACAAGGGCTCAATGGGCCATCTTACAGACTCATTTATGGGAACACCAAAGAGATCCTCAAAATGAGAAAGGAGGCAAGTGAATGTCCCTATGAGTTGTGGCAACATGATATGTTCCCAATTGTTCTCCCTCATTTGAATAAATGGAAGAAGTCATATGGTAATTACTAATTACCCCTTCTTCTTCTTCTTCTTCTTCTTCTAATTATTTTGTTGTGACTATATATATATATATATTTCTTTTTTTTTTGATATAATACATCCACTTAATGAGAGAAATTGTCTCACCGAGACTTGTCTCCCATATATATTAATTCAAAAACGTGTTCAGCCTTATTGGTAAGCTGATATGCTTTGAATCCTGACATGACAAAAATTTGTGTTTCGTAATTTGTTTATATATATGTATATATGTACATGATTGTTTTGAAATCAAATTTGACAATTTATGAAATCTCGTCAAATTTTAAAAAAATCTTAATAAATCCAGGGTCGAATAAATTAAATACCTCTTGATTTTGTTAAAAACCTTTTGAAAATCTCAAATAAATGAATTTCTAAAAGTCTTAAAAAGCCTAAATAAATAAATAGACCCATGACTCTTAAAAGTCCCAACAAATCAATAAGAATCTCAATTTAATACACCGAATTGATAGAATTATTTGTGATTAATATGATGGAATTTTGGGTGATGAATATGTAACTGATTTTAAGAAATCATTATTTCTTTCTCTCTCACTCTTTTTTAATTATAATAAATAAAATAATTTAATGGGATTTTTTTTTTTTT